GTAGAAGATGGAGTAGAAATTGGACGGATGTTTACAGATGACCTGTTTACCAAACCGGCAAAGAGTCACCCAGGGCACATCCAATCGAAAGCCTCGCGCAGCCATTTCATTCCACGTGCCTTCTCTCAGCTAAAAGTCGCTTCTCGGTCAAAGGCCACCCTTGCCACTTTCAAAGGATCCCTTGCCGATCCACTTTCAAAGGAACCGCGCCGGCTCCAAGCCGTCCCGCCCCGACTATATACCCCGAGTCCTTTGCCCTCTATCAGGAACGAACAGCTGATTCACCCAATCCACATCCCCAAAGCGACCGGACATACGCCGCGGCAGGAGAAAGGACAAGGGCGCGGGGCCCAAGGACGGAGCTGGCTGCCGCTCGGGAGAAGAAGAGGAAAAAAAAAAAAAAAAGCAGGCAGGGAGAGACCGGAGCAACGGCCTCGGCCATTGCTTACCAAGGCTCGCGCGCGTATTCCTCCATCTTCGTCCCGGTTTCCACACGGCGGCGTGACGCGCAGTCAGACGTTTTACCGGCTTGTGAATCAGGCGGCTTTCGGGCCCCGGCGACGCCAGGCGCAGCCATTGGCTGCCAGTCCTTGAAGGGGCCGGCTCAACTAACGAGGCTCGGTTCCGGAGCTGAGCGGCGCACACACGTGTTGTCCTCCGATTGCACCGGGGACGCCAGGCCGAAGGGAAATTCAGGCGGAAAATTAGTTTGATTCGGGTGATTTGGGATCTCTATGCTATAAATGAGCGGACGGGGGGGTGGGAGGGATTCCCCAAAAGTGGAGGTTTTTTTTAGCATCAAGGCAAAAGAGTAACTCACTGTTAAGTGATCTGCGTTGATCGATTCGGTATACTCGATTCCATGGGTATTTTAAATGTTGACGATGGACATGCTGAGGATAAAACGAAATGACAAAAAAGTCAAGGTTTTATCCGGAGTTTAAATGACGTCTCCCTACCATTTCCTGACTCTTTTGGCTCACATGTGAAGGGGTGAAGTCTCTTTACTGCACAGTACTGTAGGTTCCTCTGAATGGCTTAGGATTGCTGCTAAGAAGAAAAAGAAAAGAAAATAAGATTATTGAGCTTTGTCAAAATCCAAGGTATAAAAGGACATGTGTGATTGATTAACTTCTGTACCATATGGATAATTGTGCAAACTCTGGGAGACTGGAAAATATGGGAGACTGGCATATTAGGGTGCTTTGAGTTGCGAAGAGACGGACACTACTTAGCAACTACATAACCTCCACCACACAGATAAAGATGTTGCGCTAAACTAAAGAAACACTATGGTATATCTGCACTGTAACAGTGCAATGTATCTAACGAAGAGCTTAAGATGGAAAAATTATAAAGCTGCAAAGTCTTCCTCCTGCCTCTTTCTGCCCCTCTGCACACCCTTTCCCCCATATCTTTCTGCTGTCCCTGATCCCTGTCTATTTACACGTCTATTTACACGTCTATTTACACGTGAATTGGACCAGCCTAAGACTACTAAACCTAAATATGGCCATGTTTCCAATGCCAATATAGCCTTTTAATCCCATCACAAGGAGAACAATGAAAAGCCCTCAATGAAAGTTCATCTAGGAAGCAAGAGGCGAGAAATGTACATACAGTGATGACATTTGAAGAGCAGTCTCTGTGTTGGAGAGAGATCCTTGAAGGTATCTGAAGATTGGATCTTTTATGGCTGAATAGGATTGCTCTATACATGCCAAAACTAGGACTGAACAGCAGAGAGCCAGGGAAAGAGCTTTCCTCCTGAGCATGGACATGTGTGTAAATTTTTCTACCTCTGTCACAAAGGCTTTATTTTGGAGATTGATCATGCATATCAAATGAATTCAGACTATACATTGTAAAAGGAGAGCCAAGTTAGTGTATGGTGGCAAAAAAGAATAGCATTTCTTCTGGTAATACCTCTTCTTAATAACAATTTCATTAAGATTTAAATGTGGGTGACGCAGGGAGGAAGGGAAGGGAAAATAGTGTAGTCCTAAACTTACAACCACAATTGAGCCCAAAATTGCTAAGCAAGCCATTTGTTAAGTGAATTTGCCCCATTTTATGACCTTTCTTGCCACAGTTGTTAAATTAATCACTTCAGTTAAGTTAGTAACATGATTGTTAAATGATTCCCCATTGGCTTTGCTTATCAGAAGATCACAAAAGGAAATCACATGACCTCAGGATACTGTCTGCAACCGTTATAAATATGGATTCCTAAGTGTGAAAACTGGTCATAACTCATTTTTTTTCAATGCTGTTGTAACTTTGAATGGTCACTAAATGAACTGTTGTAAATCAAGGACCACCTATAGTTGGTTATACAGGTTATATGTGAGACAGATTGCATCTACCTTATTAATTAAGAATTTTCCCCTCTTCAGTCCAATTTAAATCCTACATCAATCAAGCCACTTCATGCATCTGATATAATGAGCTATAGCTCAAGAAGACCTATGCCTTTTAATAAAATAGTTGGAAATATTGCTTCCAGACTCCTGATGTTTTTGTCAGGAAAAGATACAAACTGTATCACTACATTTCCTTGTCATCGTGTTGAACAAGTACTAAATACTGAAACTAAAAGCAAAGTAACAATGCCACACCTCAAACACCTATCTAGTTCAACAAAAGTAAAGGATTAAAGGCCACTGAGGCTTTTATTTACAGTAACACAAAATTGAAGTATTACACTATATTTACATTATATAATATTTTACATCTCATGTAATAATAGTGACTGTCAGCAGATGGAGGCATTGTTCATAAAAATTATGTTTAGGAAAGGTCTGAGGGGGATGGGAGAAAAACCTAGGTAAAAAAGGAATGTATTTTGACTTTACTTTGGCAATTATTAGATTGCACTAAAATTCACAGGGTTTGGTAATGTGCACTTTGAAAACACATTTTTAAATTGTGTAAGCATGCAATGATAATTAATTAGATATGTTCATTCAATCGTGTTTCTTAATGGCATAACCCAGTTTTGATTGTATAAGCATTTTTGGAATTACATTTTTTATATTTTGACATCAGTCTATTATTTCTTTCAAATATCATTAATACTGTAATAAATTATGATGCAAACCAACCATCCCCAAAGTGATACTCTCCAATATGCTATTGGCTAGCTCATTTTGAAGTTGAACAGATCTGAAAACAGTAACTTGGTTAAAATGTAATGCAAATATCAAACAACGAGCAAGCATTAGCTTTTCAGCATCATTTCTAACATGAATGATAGCTGTTATAAAGCAGGCAAAAGAAGATGGAGAAGGTGAGTTGCAAAAAAAGCAGAACAAGAGGTACAAACCCTCCATATTCTTTGCATAATAAAATGTATGAAATATTTGAGCCAGAATTCCCGAACCTGGAATGCTCATGAATGGAGTACTTGTTCAATACCTTGGTGGAATACCATTTTGTGAAAATAAATTTAAATAAATTTAAAACCTGACCATTTTCATTAATGCTATTGTGGCATTTAGTGACTTTTTGAAATAAAAGCCAAGGAATAAAAACTTTCCACCAGTAGTTCCAGAACTACCACCCCTACTGTCCCTGCATTTTGCTACCAATGTAACATCTTCAAAGAACATTTCAGGCAGGGACTGAAAGATCTAAACTGTTTTTACTGAAAATCCCCCAGATTGGAATGGAAGATACCAGAGGTGGTATTCAGCAGGTCCTGACCAGTTCTGGCAAACCGGTAATGGAAATTTTGAGTAGTTTGGAGAACCAGCAAATACCAGCTCTGACTGGAGATTTTATAGTATCCTTCCCCTGCCACGCCCACCAAGCCGCGCACACAGAACCGGTGGTAAAAATATTTGAATCCCATTACTGGAAGATACATCTTATTATACTTGGCTCTCCACTTACTAGCAGTTGTAGATAGGCAATCCAACTCTAAGCAAATGTATTTGAAAGAAAATCTGATGGGCTTTCTTTCTAGCTTTAAACTGCATATTGATGAAGATTGTGGACTTGTTTAATGACCTATTCATCAGAAGTGTACTGTGTACTACTACAATAATAATTTTCTATTCATTTTGTATAAGATTCAAAAAAATATCAAATTGAAAACTATTTTCAATGGACAAATAGCAACTGAATCATTAAATTAAGAAAGCTTCAGGCATATTCTGATTTTACATATTATTATTGAGAGAAGTGAAATAAGACACTGCATTGCCACCAAGGAGATGCATTTGTTTGTAGATGTGTGAGCATTTGATATACACACTTAAAAAGATTTTGTTTTCATTTCTGCATCCACCCAGCGAGCCAGCACTTAGAGAATTTTGTTTTGCTTTTCTTTTTAGAAAATGTGCAAGTTTCTCTTTCATTGCCTTTAAAAACCTAAAAGTTCAAGACTAAATTTGGTCATGCAGCACTTCAAGATTCTCTGGAATGTCCTCAAGTTTCAAACTCCTCTGATAGATATCAGCTCCACCTCCTGTTTCGTATGATTGGCTTTCCTCTGCTTGGCTGAACTGTTGTCACTTTTCATTGGTCAGTTTCTCTACATCTGCATAGTCATTATAATCCAAGCTGTAAAGGGGGTTTTGTTTCTTACATATAACATTTCAACACCTCTACAGTACCAGAAAAAAGAACTTGGTTTTGCAGAAATCCCAACTGTTTTTTTAAACTTGCTTTTTAATATATACACAAATACATATATACATATATAGAGTGTACTCTTGCAACCTGCCAAGATGTCGAAAGTAGCAAAATACCGACGGCAAGTCAGTGAAGATCCAGATATTGACAACTTATTATCCACTTTGTCTGCAGAAGAGATGGAGGAGCTAGAAAAAGAACTGGATTCATCTGATACAGATGGGAGCATTCCAGTAGGCCACGAGCAGAGAGATAAAACTGACAAGCAATTGAGTGGCAAGTGCAATCGAGAGGAAACACTCAGCTACCGTGAAAAGGAGACCAAGAAATTTATTCCAAAGGAACAGTCAACGGATGTAAGTTGCTTTTTGGGAAAGGTGCATTAGTATAAGGGGAAGTGGAGTAATGCTAGCTGTAAACTATGGCTAGAATTATACAGTTTGCTAAGTTAAAACATCAGATTTTAGGGAGTTTTGCAATGTGTAAACCTAGCCGGAAAGTCAAAAGGAAAATATTACTTTTCCATAGTAAGATGCAACTCACATCCTGTTTTTCATAAACTTGATCAGTGTAATCAAGTTTATTAAGCTGCCTTAAAGTATATATTTATTGGTTTTCATTGACACAAATATTTTCCTAAAGTTTTGCTGAATAAAACAGTTAATGGGTTTACACTTCTTACTAAATCATGTTTGTTTATCATGTTTATTGAGTCAATCACAATGATTAAGTTCATTTACTGTGTAAAGTCAAAATGATACAACATTATTAACATGAGTAAATGCTATCACAGAGCAGGTTTTTAGTTTCTTGAACTTGGAGATAATTGTCTCACTTAGGGAAGTGAAAGTTGTTCCCCATTAGGTTGGGTTGAAGCCCCAAAACTGTTTCTGGTTCTAGCTTTACAATATTGGGAGTCCAGTCTTAATGCTCTGTGGCTGTGTTGATAATATCTGAGAGTTTAGTTACTGCAAGAGATAAGATGGAGAAGGTCACCCCACATTTCCTGGGTTTGTGAAAGTCATAATTTACTTTAATGATAAATTAATTGAACAAGCTTAAGTAGACTTGTGCCACAATGGTAAGCCTTAAAGTATGGTTTGGAAACCACAAAACTACCACTAGGTTCATATGACTAGGTCAGAATCAAACAAATCACACTATGGATTGGTGGCATGAGTTAACCCAATGATTGGGATTTGTAAAAACATGGTTTACAGTTTAGCATGTTGGGCATGCTAAATTTCCAAATGTCTATTCTGACATTTAATAAATTATTAATAAACAAATCCATTTTACTCTTTTTTCCTTTTATAGCAGCTAACAGCAAAACACTATAAGGGATGTGTTTACATAGTATGCAAAGCCAAATTGTGTTTTGTTTGAAGTTTAGCATTTCATGTGAATTCCATTGTTTAAAAACTATGGGATAGAGTGATACCATTTCCAATCCTTTTAAAGTCTTGAAAAAAAGTGAGATAAGTACCCATGTGATTGTACAATATGTTTATTTATTATAGAATTATGGTTAACTAAATAGCTTGCATTTGCAGACCACCTGAACATAAGCTGTTACATGGTCTGGGTTCATATCAATAGACAAATGCATTTTAGAGTAGTGGTTTGTTCAAATCCAGTCTATATATCATGCCACCTGACAAGGGATTATGAGAGGTAAGCTCTATGCTATGTTTATAAATGTGCCAAACCATATTTTGTTTACCTATGATAACTACATAAATCACAGTTGACTAAATTCTTTCAAAACATTTACCATACTGTAGCTTATTAACCATACATTTTTGACATAGTTTTTTATGCGAACTCAGGGTTTACGTTATGTTCCTTGCGTGGTGAGGCTAGATCAATGGACTTTGTCTTGCCAGCAGCAACCACATTTGCTTGCCCAGCACTAAGTAGAAATGTAGATGGGGAGGAACTGAAGCTATCCAGTACTAAAGAGATCCCTTGAGGAAAAAAAAGAACCTTAATTTGCAACAAGCAAGGCTGGTTCTGTCCATAAGCATAATGAAGCAGAGGCTTCATGTGGTGGATTAGGAACACAAGCCCAAATGGCGCAAGCTAAAAAAAATATATCTAAGGGCAGCTTTTTTTTTTTGCTTGAGGCACAGAATAAAGGTAGTCCTTGATGTACCGTATATGCCGGCGTATAAGACGACCCGGCGTATAAGACGACCCCCCAACATTTCCACTCAAAATATAGTTTGTTATATACTCGCCCCCTCTTCCGCACGCCTTCCACTTTTGCACTTTTTTTTTTTTTGAGGCACTTTTGTGCACCGTGGAAACGAATCCCGTGAAGCCGAAAGGAGCAGCCAGCCTTCTCCCAGCTCCCAAGGA